GATTCAAATTCGGTTGGTATATGAATATACAAAAGGAATTGGAGGTTGTTACATCAACGTTTCGTCAATATGTGTTCTCGAATAAAACTAATAGCTCATTAACCGTTGGGGATTTGGACAAGTTGCTCCATTACAAGGTGTTTTGTCATATTGATGAAGAGGACGTTGTAAGGGCATGTTACTTCATATCCTTTATAATGTTTTTCTAATAAAGGAGTTGAATTACAAAAGTTACACGGTAATGACTTTTGCTTGTTGATAACTTAGACAACTGTAGTAAATATGTCATACAATATGTATGTTTATTAAAGTTATCGATAAATAGTAATTTGATGTTTTCTAAAATTAGAAAATTACGCATACCTTATTGTCGCTTGCAAAGCCTTGTAAACATTCGAGTCGCACACTTCTAGATCACATCGACTATTGGAGGAATACCAACAAATTGTGACGACATGTCTTTATGAGTTTACTTTTGGTTAACGTGATGCCTCAACAAGAGGGTGCCATGAAAGATTATACTGTTTTCCTTTGCATGTTTTTAGAACAATTGGTACCGGTTCATCCTTTGATTACAACTTCAACTGTAACATCCCAAAAATACAGTCTAAAAATTTCGTTTTAATTTAATAATAAAAACCGTAAATAACTTCTTCACATAAAAATCATAAGTCATGTATTCAGTCTCATATCAAAATATGTCAGAGTATAAACATCCCAGGCTAAACAAATGGTGTGTGCACTGCAACCTTCCCGAGCTCCTCTTTTGAAAACTGAAGTTCCTGAAACCAAAACTGAAAACTATAAGCACGAAGCTTAGTGAGTCTCCCCAAACTACCACATACCATACAAAGCACATATCACAAATAACATAACTCTGGGACTAATCCCAACTGCATCGGGACGAATCCCGACATCGGCTTACCCGACATCGGACTCCTTCCCGGCATCGGGCTCACCCCGGCATCCGACCGCATCGGGCATCGGGCTTACCTCGGCACATACACATCATAACATATATCATAAACACATAACATAATCACATGATCTGCATCGGGCTTGTCCCGACATCGAACCGAACCGAAGCCCCGAACATATAATCATATAGCATGTAAACTAACATACATCGGGCTTACTCCGGAACACTAACACATAACATATAACATAATCGCATATACTGCATCGGGCTTGCCCGGAATTGGACCGAAGCCCGGAACACATAACACATAACACATATTCATGCATGAATCACAAAGACATCAAGCATACTTAACTACTTCTCAGGACTGCCCCGACATCGGACCGAAGTCCGGAAACATATAAACTACATCGGGCTAACCCCGGCATCGGGCTCACCCCGACATACTCTACTACTTAAACGGGCTGACATTGTGGCCGTAGACCCGTTACTACTGGAAGGAAACTCACCTCACACTGCTGAAGTCCCGCTGACAGAACCATAGCTGCTAGATGACAGATTCCCGATCTGTCAATATCAAAATAACACCCAATTAATAATTGGGTTCTATCACATATCCATAATTCCATGCTTGGGGTAAAAGACTATTTTACCCTTAACTTAGCTTGACTCAGTCCCAAGGCCCAATCCAAAGGCTCAAAGTCCAACTATGGCTCAAAGCCCAACATATGGCCCAATTTTCCAAATTGGGCCCAAACCTCTACATGGACTTCCCTTAAGGCCCAATTGTTCAGTCCAGTCCAACATGTCTCATTCTAAGGGCCCAATATCATACAACCATCTAGGCCCAACTATGGCCCAATTTTACAAATTGGGCCCAAACCCTCCTATAGGCCTTACCCTAAAGCCCATTAAATTGTTCTAGTCCATTTTCTTGTTCTTGGATGGC